CTCTCTCTCTCTCTCTCTCTCTCTCTCTCTCTCTCTCTCTCTCTCTCCTTCACTTACTGCCATCAGTTTTCGCCTTCCAGCACCACTGTTAGCCTAATTCACAGTCTTGAGGCAATAAGTGACTCTGGCCTCCTGACACCTGGTTCAGCTTCTGGGCTAATCCTCTCTCAGGCTGCCTTCTCCTATGACTCTCCTGCTTCCTTCTCCGGATCTGTTCCCTTTGCCTGCCCTTTGGCTGCGTTCTGTTGGAGGCCATAGGCTCTTCCTACTCTACACAGTCCTCACAGGGACACTCCAGCTGGCATGTGTGCCTGATGGCTCCCATCTCTCTCCTGAGCCCCAGCCTCTGTGTACCCACGTGGCTGCTAGATAGCTCTAGCCAGCTGCTTACTCATTCTTTCAATTAGTAATTAATGGGAGCTTACTCTGTGCCAGTGGGGGACAAACATAAAATGTTCCCAAATATAATCTTGAGGGTGGTTTAAGGTCTAAACTTACTTTTACCCTCAACTGCTTCTCCTTCGTATATGTCATCATTCGTGAAGCCCAGTCCTCCCAGCTCTGCGATATTCAGCTCCATCATCTCCTTCCAGGCCAGGCCAGGAAGCTCTCCTCTGGCCTCCCACATAGCCATTATCCCTCTTTTCATGGCACCCACACACTGTTGTTTTGACTTTTTTGTTTGTTTGTTTTTGAGACAGAGTCTTGCTCTGTTGCCAGGCTGGAGTGCAGTGGCGTAATCTCAGCTCACTGCAACCTCCAACTCCCTGATTCAAGCAATTCTCCTGCCTCAGCCTCCTGAGTAGCTGGGATTATAGGCACGTGCCACCATGCCCAGCTAATTTTTGTATTTTTGGTTGAGACAGGTTTTTACCATGTTGGTCAGGATGGTCTCTATCTCCTGACCTCGTGATCCACCCGCCTCAGTCTCCCAAAGTGCTGGGATTACAGGCGTGAGCCACCATGTCCAGCCTATTTTAACTTTTTAAAAACATTTAAGCTTTAAAAAAAAAATCTCAGTTATATGTGCATAAATTAACAATCAGCAGCCCACAGCCTGTTTTCCAGAAGGCAGCCACTTTCAACCCTTAGCTGATTCATCTGATTACTTATGTCTCAAAATAACAGCTTATATTGCCACTTGATTTTTCACTTTTAGGTCTTGTCTTTGACTTATTACCAGTGAGTTAAATAATCTGTTTATGTGTCTGTTTCTCCTACTGGCCTGTAGGCCCTCGGGTGGCTTCAGCACACCTGATGGTGCTCACTAGTTCAGTAAACGATGAATTAATGAGTGAGTGGGTAAATAATGAATGAATGAATGTGGTCACGTTGTCTCAGGATTTCAGTGATACAGGTCCAGTCATGTGTTTCTATCACATTGAAGTGACCAGCCTCAAGAGAACCCTTTCACCCTAATCAACCCACAAAGCCTGTAATTATAGTTTGATGATTTTACTAAAATACCCTACAGATTTGTGAAACTGCTTCACAGCATTCCTGGTTTCTTTTATAGTTATAAAATAAATCTTTTAATGAATGTACACAATTCTGAAACCTATTTTATAGTTTCATGTTTTAGAGTAACAGGTTAGAACAACTCTTCCTTCATGCATTGAGCATCTCAATGCTGACTTTCCCAGAACCTACCTCATCCAGAACCTACCTCATCCAGTCTTCCAACTGTCATACCTGTTTCTTCTCTAGGCCAGCATTGAAACAGGGGACCGTGTCTGGAGAATGCCTCTCTTTGAACATTATACAAGACAGGTTGTAGATTGCCAGCTTGCTGATGTTAACAACATTGGAAAATACAGGTATGTAAGATAAGCTAAATGTACATTTACACAGTCATCCTTGATTGCCAAAATTTTCCATTTTATCCCCTTATAAAAGGTTTAACTATTTAATTTCCTATTGGTGTAGTGTTTGTAAGGTTTTTAATGTCTTGAATTTCAAGCATTTCTTCAACCAGGTCTCAAAATTTGCATGTTTCCAATCTAAAGGTAATTTTAAGTGAATGGTAAGGGTAAGAGACGGAAAATATGGGAGTTCATTACCATAGCAAAAAGGAATCTAGAATTTATCCTTTACTGCTTAAAGCAATATCTGAAAATAAATATTCTGAAAGTGATGTGAGTTAGCATCTTAATAGGTCCTATAAGCTTGACTTTTGTTCTACAGAATGTACTTACCAAGAATGTGGGATCTCTGTGCACATTTACATGGGGTTATAAAGTCCTTTTTGTCGTTCTCTTCAGGTCTGCGGGAGCATGTACAGCTGCGGCGTTCCTGAAAGAATTCGTGACTCATCCCAAGTGGGCACACTTAGACATAGCAGGCGTGATGACCAACAAAGATGAGGTTCCCTATCTACGGAAAGGCATGACCGGGAGGCCCACAAGGACTCTCATCGAGTTCTTACTTCGTTTCAGTCAAGACAATGCTTAATTCAGATACTCAAAAGTGTCTTCACTTTCTGTCTTAAATTGGACAGTTGAACTTAAAATGAAAATCTTTCAGAGGAGATAAAGGATGGTATTTTAAAATGTAGGACACAATGAAATTTGTATGCCTTGATTCTTTTTTCATTTTACACAAAGATTTATAAAGTTAATCTTACTTGGCAAGGATTTTTAAGATATTCTATAAATGACTAAAATCTTTAGAACTTCCGAATCACTTTTCAGAGTATATCTTTTTAATTGAGAAGCAAAATTGTACTTCAGATTTGCGACGCTAAGAACACGAGCAAACTGAAAGTTACTATGCACTTGTCAGAAACAATAAATCCAACTTTTTGTGCTCTGTGATATGGCTCTTTTACTTACATACTGCCACAAACCAGTAACTTATTACTATAATATCATTTGTCTCTGTAGCCATGTTATATGAACTGCCTGATTAAATTGGGGCACAGTGCTTTATGCATTTTCTCAATGTTCATCATCCCTTAAGGGTACTCAATGATCGAGCTCATCAGTTTGTGTAATAGTGACTTGACACATGATTTCCAAAATGAATCAGTCAGAATAACATTAACTAACCATTGACTTGCCAGCTGCCAGGCACTGTCCTCAGCGTTTTCAGGTATTAAATTATTGAGTCCTACCCAATGAAACAGGTACTTTTATTACCTTCATGTGATAGATGAGGAACATGAGGCACAAGAGGTTTAATAACATGCCACTGATGTCACAAAACAAGTAACTGGTAGCTCAGAGTTCAAGCCAGATGGTCTGATTGCTGCATTGGTATACCGCAATGCGCTTTTTCAGTTAAGTGACTTGAACGGGTATAGAATTTATTTGAAATACTTAAGTAAGAAACATGACCATAGGCCAGGCATAGTGGCTCATGCTGTAATCCTAGCATTTTGAGAGGCCAAGGCCATAGGATTGCTTGAGACCAGGAGTTTGAGACCAGTTTGGGCAACACCATTAGAGCCTTGTCTTTGATTAAATTTATTAAAGAAACAAGCCAGCAACAGTGTGTTGAAACAAGACCATAAAAGGGATTGCCAGCTGAGTCCAGCTACTCAGGAGGCTGAGGTGGGAAGAGCGCTTGAGCATGGACGTCAAGGCTGCAGTGAGCCCTGATCATGCCACTGCATTCCAGCCTGGGCAACAGAGCAAGCACCTGTCTCAAAAAGGTATGGGGTGGGGATGCAGTGGCTCATGCCTATAATCTCAGCACTCTGGGAGGTCATGACAGGAGGATAACTTGGAGCCCAGGAGTTTGAGACTAGCCTGGACAACATAGTGAGACACTGTCTCCATGAAAAATTTTAAAAAATAAGCTGGGTGTGGTGGTGTACCTGTAGTCCCAGCTGCTCAGAAGGCTGGAGCAGGAATATTGCTTGAGCCCGGGAGTTTGAGGCTGCAGTGCTCTAGCTGGGGCAATAAAGTAAGACCCCCATCTCTTAAAAAAAAAAAAGAGACTGTCAATGGGTCAAACTGTTTGCTCACCTCCTGAGACTATAACCAATCAACATAATTGCATCAGTGCAGACTTAGAACAAAGCTCTCCTTTTTTACTTTTATATCTGATGAATCAAATTATCCATCAATGGGATCTGTGGCCCTTTTTTTTTTTAACTTTGAAAATGTTTGTCAGGAAAAGCTCTTTGTTACTGTTAATTTTAATATTTAAGAAATTTGACATGTAAGAAAACATTGTATCTAAACTGGTTTACAGAGGGAACGGAAATGGGTATGCATGTTTGGTACTTATTAGAATTAAAGAAAACCTGGTGAGTGTAGTAAGTAAACACAGGTTTCCCTGGTTATCCATGTTCAGAAGTCACTTCATCAGGAAAGATGGAATTAGAGGGTTGGAATTACAGACTTTTGAAGGAAACTGAATACAGATTTATTCTGAGTGATACAGAGCCTCAGTAGGGCTTTGATAGAATTTTTTTTTTTTTTAGACAGTTTCACTCTGTCACCCAGGCTGGAGTGCAGTAGCATGATCTCAACTGACTGCAACCTCCACCTCCTGGGTTCAAGCGATTCTCATGCCTCAGCCTCCCACATAGCTGGGACTACAGGCGTGAACCACCACGGCCAGCTGGTTTATGTATTTTTAGTAGAGATAGGTTTTGCCATGTTGCCCAGGCTGGTCTCGAACTCCTGGTCTCAAGTGATCCACCCGTCTCGGCCTCCCAAAGTGCGCTGGGATTACAGACGTGAGCCACCGTGACTGGCTGAGATGAAATTTAATAGTTGTCCCTGAATGTACATTTAGCTGCCAGAAACTTCATGAACCCTGTCTCTACTAAAAACACAAAAATTAGCCAGGCATGCTGGCGTGCGCCTGTATTCCCAGCTACTAGGGGGGCTGAGGCAGGAGAATTATTTGAACCTGGGAGGCAGAGGTTGTAGTGAGCCAAGAATGTACCACTGCATTCCAACTCCAGCCTGGGTAACAGAGCAAGACTTCTCCTCTAAACAAAGCAAAAAAAGTTACATTCAAATCATACTAACATTCCATTCCCAACCAGTTGGTTGTTGAGCAAATCATGGCATTTATTTGACCCAAGTCTCACCACTGCTCTCTCAACTCCCCTAGTAGAAGTCACCATCCTCTCTGCAGTCCTAGATTACTGTCTCACTGATCTCCCTGCCTTTTCCACTTGTTCTCCTGTTATCCGTATGGCTAGAAAGATTATTTTAAAACATAGATCAGGCCAGGCTCAGTGGCTTATGCCTGTAATCTCAGAACTTTGGGGGGCCAAGGTGGGAGGATCATTTGAGGCTTCAAGAGCTCAAGATTAGCCTGGGCAACATAGTGAGACCTTATCTCTAAAAATTAAAAAAAGGAGTCACATTGGGTAACTCCTTAGCAACTTAGTCTATGTGAGGCACTGTATTAAACCTCCATATACATTATCTTGTTCTTAGTAATTTTTCTAAGGCAGTGTTCCCTCATCTTATAAATGAAGTGATTTTTCAGCAAAATCCAAAAAATGTCAGTGTTTTTTTGGTGCAGTACTCTAGGGAGACTGCAAGAGAAATAGCACTGACCATGCTCTCAGGAAATTTACATTGAGGTTAGGTAAACTGGATATTAGAGACTTGAACGGCTGGGGATGGTGGCTCACTCCTGTAATCTCAGCACTTCAGGAGGCCAAGGTAGGTGGATTGCTTGTGCCCAGGAGTTCAAGACCAGCCTGGGCAACATGGCAAGACTCCATCTCTTCAAAAAATTAGCCAGGTGTGGTGGCATGCCCCTGTAGTTCCAGCTACTTGGGAGGCTGAGGTGGGAGCCTAGGAGGTGAGAGTTGCAGTGAGCTGTAATTGTGCCACTGCACTGCAGCCTGGGTGACAGAGTATGACTCTGTCTCAAAAAATAAAAATAAAATTGTACCTGTATACACACACACACACACACACACACACACACACACACACACGAGACTTGCCAAAAAGTAAAATGATGCCACTCTTTTTACTAATTTATTCCTTATTTTGGAAAATAGAGCATTAGTTTTAATAAAGATACTATTTTTGTTAATGTGTAATGAAGTTATTTTTAAATGAATTTTTAAAATTCTCATTTTTAACTTATAAATATTAGCAGACATAACCCACATAAACAAAAACTTTGGGATCCTCAATACCTTTTAGGCATGTAAAGGGGTCTTGAGACCAAAGCTGTCTGAAATCTACTGAAGTAGACTTGTTTCCTCCTGGCACTTTCTTCTGGTTCCCAGTCACCACATAGTTATTATGTCTATCTATGCCAGGCACCATTCTAGATTTTGGGGATACAGGTGAAGAAGATGGGCAGGCTCTGATGTATGGAACTTACATTCTAGTTGGCATGTGTATGACAGAAAGAGAGGAGGAAGAGGAGGAGGGTAGGTGATTTAGTTATGAAGAAATGAACAAGTTAATTTCAGATTACATAAAAGCTGTGAAGAAAATTAAACAGGGTCAAGTACCCAGGAGTGGGGATCTAAGTCAAAATGAGGCTGGGAAGATGATTTGATTTGAGCCTGATTGGCAAAGGGAAGCTCCTGCTTTTTCTCTGAACATTTCTGCCCTGGCTCACTCCTCTACTGAGCTTCCTGTGGTTCCTTAAATATGCCAGGCAGGATCCTTCTTCAGGGATCCCTCGGTGCAGAAAGCACTCCTAAATTTTCATGCCAGTCACTACAGTCCAGGTCTCCTTGGAGGGGCCTTCTCCAATCACCTATCTCAAAGAACACTCCTCCATCACTAGCCATCCCCTTACCGGGTTTCATTTTTCTTCCCAGCTCTTCTCTCTACACAATATTGCTATATATTTATGTATTTGTCTCTCTCCTTCCAGAGATTTGGGGTGATTGTTATAACCCCCAGATCATTAAATAGTGCCTGGGAAACAGAGGGCTCAGTTTAAGTGTGCTGGGTGATAACCAAAATCAGATATGATGAAAAAATGTTACTTGGCTTCTAAAGAGATAAATAAGTGGGCCGGGTGTGGTGGCTCACACCAGTAATTCCAGCACTTTGGGAGGCCGAGGCGAGCGGGATGCCTGAGCTCAGGAGTCCTAGACCAGCCTGAGAAACGTGGCAAAACCCCATCTCTACTAAAATACAAAAAATTAGCCGAGAGCGGCGACCTTCGCCTGTAGTGCCAGCTACTCGGAAAGCTGAGGCAGGAGAATCGCTTGAACCAGGGACGCGGACGTTTGCAGTGAGCCTAGATCGCATCACTGCACTCCAGCCTGATGACAGAGCGGGACTCCGTCTCCAAAATAAAAGAAGAGATAAATAAGCATTTTTTTTTTTTTTTTTTTAGACAAATTTCGCTCTTGTTGCCCAGGCCGCTGGAGCAATTATCCAGCCTCAGCCTCCCGAGTAGCTGGGATTACAGGCATGTGCCACCATGCCCGGCTAATTTCGTATGTTTTAGTAGAGACGGCGTTTCTCCATGTTGGTCAGGCTGGTCTCGAACTTCTGACCTCAGGTGATCCGCCCGCCTTGGCCTCCCAAAGTGCTGGGATTACAGGTGTGAGCCACCGCGCCTGACCTAAATAAGCAATTGTTTAAAAGCAGATTATTAAAGGGTTAACAGCCTGGTGCATTGTCTTATGTCTGTATTCCGAATACTTTTGGAAGCCGTCGGGGGAGAATCACTTGAGTTCAGGAGTTGGAGACCAAGCTGGACAAAACGGTGAAACCCCCGACTCTTCTAAAACTAAAAACTAAGTAACTAAATAAATAATAGCCTGGCGTGATAGCACGCACCTGTGGTCGTAGCTACATGGGTGGCTCAGGTGGGGGGATTGCTTGAGCCCGGGAGTTCGAGTCCTGTTCATG